TCCAACTTGACCGTCGAACGCTTCGGAATTGATAGTTCTGTCTACTGTATGATTGATGTTTCAGGCTGCGGCATTGAGGATTACGGCGGACATGGAAGATCTGGTCGAACAAATCGATGTAACACCTTCAAAAATGTACTTCTATTTTACACATATTTTTATTTTTATTCTTATCACTGTTTGATCCATAGGTTTCTGATGAGTTTAAAATGTATCACCGCGCAGATAATTAAAGTGTAATGTGTTAGAAAGGTTGAAACATGGCCTGAACAGTTTTAATCTCCAAATAAATACCAGTCAGGTATTGTTTCATTTATGCTAATTTTAGGTTGTCTGAAAATTAATGTGAATTATGTTGATATCTTCTCGTTTTTTCTCTACCTCTCTTGTACCATGCTTAAGAACTGTCGTGGGTTAGTAGTTCTATTTGTATATACATTTGAGATCACAGTTATTTGTTTTGCATGTTTTGGTCTGTCAAGTCGTCAGGTTCCCAAACATAGTCGAGTCCTTCTCTGAACCGCAAATTGAAACGGCTTACTCTAACCTTCAGCTATTGGTTCAAGCATGTGATTTCATTGTGTCCGCATACTTGAATGTGAAGGACGGTATGTTTTTATGTGATTTCCCTCTAAGAGGTCAGTTATGGCAATTTTGTTGCTGGTTTTTGTGCTGCTATTATTAGTTTATTGTTTAATTCGTGAATATCTCTGTTATTTTTTACTCAGTTTGGTAATCTGGTTTTATTTGTTGAAAAGCAATGTTCTTTGGCGACCTTGTTCAACCGGTAAACTTTCAACCTAAATTCTTCAACTTTAACAGCCAGATCAAACTAGGTAGTTTAGATAATAATCACTGGAAAATACCGTATAGCTAATTGCTTTTAGAGTGTGACGTAACTCGGCGTCGTTTTGCTCTTGTTTTCATTGTAATTAATTTTGTCAGATGTAGCAAAATTTTAGTCAAAGAATACATATGCAGTTGTCTAGAAGTTTTAGTGAATTAGCCAGAGGTTTTTTTGCCATTCAGAAATGATGCCCTCTTTTGTCAAACCATTAACATGGCAGTCAACTGATGTTTTCAGCTTGTGCTGTGAATGTGGTGCACTTATCGATCCCAACCCTGCTAGTATGTGTGTGGGTTGTATTCGCGCCAGAACGGATATAACCGAGGGTATAAGTAAGCAGTATCAGATTGGCTGGTGTAAACAGTGCCATCGAATTTTGATCCCACCGAAGGCATGGATCAAAGCAGAATGGGAATCGAAGGAACTAATGAAGATATGTCTGAAGCGGATAACCGGACTGAAAGCGGTAATGCGACTATACCTTTCATTCACGCGCTAATTTTTTAACTTTCAAGGTTCGACTGGTTGATGCGAAGTTCGTCTGGACGGAACCTCATTCTAAGCGCATCAAGATCATGCTGACTGTGCAAAAAGAAGTAAGTTCCCTTTTTTCCAATGTTATGCTGTTTCTTTCAGGGTTGAAGCGGTTCTTTGTTTTAGTAGACCACATTGTTGAAAGCCTCACGCATGCCCATCCGTCACGTCACCTAAACAGCTATATATATATTTTTTTTCTCTCAGTACTTCAGTTTATGCCCTTCGTTATAGGTATTATTTGCTGAATTCATTTCTTAGCCGGCTAAACACTAATTACAATGTCGACGAGATATAGGTTTAAATTACATAGAAAATCACTGATTCACGGTTAATCACTTCTGAGGTAGATCAGAGTATATCACTTGTACGACAAGAGGGCATAAAACTCTGGTGTCTGTGC